TGGAATCAAAGATGCCGGAACAAAAGATTTCATACCGAGGAAGGTAATCACTCTTCATGTAATGATCCTGCAGTTCCGTTGTGATTGCCGACCAGAGATGACAGAAGTCAGCGGATGAATGCTTTCGGACGCAAAGCATATGAGCCAGAGCTACAGCAATACGGCATGACAGGCTATTTTCTGGAGCCGATTTGCAGCCAGCCAATGTCGTCTTCAAAAATTAACACGTACAGAAACTGACACCTACCTCGATAATTCAGTAAAACCGTCCGGATTTTTAGCATCCAGCTTCTGATGTTAATCAGATTCAACGAAGTTACGTCAAAAAATCTTGTTCCCAGCTAAGTGCTTTCAATTTATAACTACAGTGCCTACTAACAATGGCAATCATCCACTAGAAAGCCATCCGATGTATTGCTTTCTTGCTACTACCTCTCACTTATGCATTGGGCACACCCACTGTCAGCCAATATTTCAACGAACCGTGCTTTCTGAAAGATATTTTTCTCGCGCATCATACACAACAAAAAGGATCGCTCTATTTCCCTATACAATCACAGAGGAATACTGCTAATATTCTCTATTCCATTATTTTTCCCCAGAACTACTGACACACTCGAAAATATACAAAATAATATAAATCCACCTCCCTCTATCAGCGTTCTCCTTTCCTTTCATAATTCCTCACCAGCCAACTCACTTCATACTCACGTTCAACAACCGCCCCTTTTTACCAAGAACCTTGCGACGACTGCGGCAGTTACCGAGCATAAGGTAGCTTTGAAAAAAATTTGAACAGAAACGAAAACACAGGCGGGACAACACCAAAATGTTCTACTGCATTTGTATAAATGCAGAAGAAAGTAAAAAAAAAAAAAACAAATGCAAGAATCACTGTAATTCAAGAACTGTCTTTGTCGAATTTCCAAAACAAACAGATCGGCGGGCTAGCCCTTCGAATTTTGGTGGAAGTAAATTTTTGAAATTCTCAAATGCTTAACTGCTAGCCATCTGGTTTTATCGATACGATTGGTAGTATTCTCTGCAATTAAAGCAGTTGTTTCCCGCTAGTATTATTGTACATTCAGATTCATTCTTCCAAGAAACAGGTTAAAAGTACTTACGGAAAACTGTTGGTAGAAATCCACCAAGTCCTCGGACATTCCAGCTTCTCTTGCACTATTTTCAGCAACAGCGGATTTACAAGGTTGAGTATTTTTGACCGCACCACCAGGTCCAGGGCTTCTTGTTCTTCCAGTTGAGCAAGCAGGTTCGACTGCCACATCATCTACGCTATCCTTTGTTGACAGCACAAAGCTCCGCTTTGGCTTTTCAAAAATTGCATCAATCCAACGCTGAAGAACAGCCTAAACATTGTTTTATGACAAATGCATGTTATCCAAAAACGATATCTCGATTAGACAGGAAGAAAAGCAATTCAGCTCACCGACTTTAAGTTATCTTCATTAGCATCACCGTCCGGTTTTGTGATGGCAATATTCTGTGGCGCTACTGGCATAAGTAATGAAGACAACGCACGGCGTGAATCCAGTGCCGAAGGACTTAATTTCGTAGAAACAACACATGAACTCTCCGGAGATTCGGCCGTCTCCAGCAAACTTCGCATACATGAACCTGTATAAATTAGTGCTATCAGTTTGATTATCCCAAAAAGTACTGCAGCCTTCGAATAAGACCAGTAGCTAAAACCAAAAAAAAAATAAGGAACGGTCGTGTAACTCACTCAAAAGGTAGGATGCATTGCTATTAAATAATACCCACGAACTCCATGATGAGGCTTGCAGTGGATCCAAGTTAGTAAAATGCTGTTCTTCAACGAGAATGCCCCTGTCCACATTTGACCATATCGCTGACAATCCAAATTCCCTAAAGATAAAACAGAACATTCGCCGCAAATCTTCAAAAAGCAAGGCCATCAAGATGATCATACTCCACTGCATCAGTAGCAGCTCCAAATGGAAGATGAGTAACATCAACAACATCGAGATCTCCTGCGACGGCCATCCCATACTCTGGCGTCAATTCCGTTTTCACAGCATTGCACGGTCTGTCCTAAAAATTTATCTTTGAATACTCATTCTTCCTTAACTGAGGGATCTGCTCTAAAAAAAGTTCTTCAAAGAAGCTGTGGCAGGCGGCTATTATGCACCGCTCCGACTTAAATATGAATATTACCGGCTCAGGACAGTATCGACTTTTTCAATAAAGGTCAACTTAGCACAACTCTTTACAATAAAAATGACCGGCCCAGTTTCCCCGCTAAGATATTCCAATGCAGACAATAATGTTAATCCTTGCATTCATGGTAACATTATACATAGCCAAATGGCACGACTGCTTCGAACTGAATATATTCTCGATGGTTTTACTAAATCATCAGTAATCGTGAGCAGAGGGATTCTTCGCCTTGAACTTTTTACAATTTCTGTCCATTTTCTTCACGTTGCACATTTAGTTCTTTCAAATTTCTTTATCCTAACAATATTAAGTTCAACAAACTTTCTTTTCAAACAAAAATCCCATGAATTTTCTTCATTTTACTCTTAGCTACCAACTTTCTCATTTCAGCATCCCTTTGCATTTGGCCTATTTTAAAAATTATTTTATCTACTGTGCGTCCAAAATGGTGCATTTCTTCGCCACATTTTGCTCCTTTCATTATTCTCCTGTCAGTCTGTGGCGGTCTTATCCATCATTCCCCATCCGTTTTTATGCGTTTTTTGCAGCTATGCAATGCAAAAACGCATATTATCGAGGGGTTGTTCACGTGTGTGTATGTGTGGGTGTGTGTCTGTGTGTGCGTCTGTAACGAGTTCTCATCTCGAGATCCATAAAAGCTACAAGGCTGAAAATTTGGTGACTTGATCTACACATACGTGTGGGCTAGTATCCTCAAAATGAATGCTCAGGTCCGCGTAGTTCTCACGTAGGGTCACGTGAAAATTTTTTCGGCGGGAAAGCGTTTTCGGGAACGGCCCATGCTAGCAGGCTGGAACTCCACAGAGTTGTTCCTTGGCCCCGTCTAATCCAAAGATTTCAAAATCAGCCTTTGCGCATTCTCAGGATTCACGTACGCACACGTCAAAGTTTAAACTGGCATCATGCCAACTCCAAATTTAAGGTGATCAATAAGCTTCCAGAGAGCTGCAATTCTGCAGCGTTACTTCTCGCCCACTGTTGCGTCCGTGAAAGTAAATTACTTGTCAGCTCTTCTGCATCTCACGTAGGAACACGTGAAAGTTTCACGCATGCGCTTTTGTAACTTTAGAATTGAACCAGCCAGAGGCCCTGAACTTTCCGAGCATAACCGATGGTGCCCTTTGATCAGATGCACGCAAAAACGACTTACACATCATTTTCACGTCTCACGCACGTTTCACGCGCGCACACGTAAAGTTTGACGTAACTCCTTAACCGGAGCAGCTGGAGTGCTGAAACTTTCTGAGAGTTACCCAGAGCTGTGTTTGAGTAACCTCAAGTGAAGAAAGCGCTCACGTGCGAGCACGTGAAATCTGGCGTAAATTCGCAACCAA